CTCTGGTCTTGTATTTCCGGCCCTGAAGCCACTCTCCCGAGTCTTCATTTGCTCCCAGGAGCCTTCGTCGTCTCACGTACCTGGTTTTCTTGTTTTGCGTCCACTCTTTGGCCGCATGATGGTGTCGGCGCCTTGGACATCCGTGGTGCGGTGGGTGGTGTCGTGGGGCTGTCATGGAGGTCAGGCTGTGGCCACGTGTCAGATGAGCTTCCGTCGAGTGAGGGACATGGACGTTTAGATCCCCCTGTTTTGCTTATTGAGTGACCCCCGGAAGGCAGCCTCATTTAAAATGATCGAGCAGCAGTAATAGCGTGTGGCTGTGCTTCAGGAGGGGAGTGCGTTCACGGGGAGACGCTGCCCGGCTCCTGACAGAAAACCCGTCCTGCCAGGACAGCAAGGCAGTGGTGGGGGCCCAGCAGCCCCCCAGCTCTGACCCCAAGCTGCTGCAAATGCTCCCATCTCCCCTCCACGGTGGCCTCGGGCAGGCGATCAGGGTGGCGGCGGTCACAGGGCAGAGGAAATTGCCTGAGCAGTGTCCGTCCATTGATTTTGGAGATTAACTCCAGCTGCTTTCTAAGGTAGTTCAGACCATGAAGTGACAGCTGATGGCCACGTATTTTAAAAATAAAATGGAAAGAGCTGCGCGTGCATTTTGAGCGCAGTCAGCACCATCTCGCCCGTCCGGTGGACCGAAGGGAACCGTGTTGTCGTGTGTCCGTCCCGCCTGGGGCCCTGACAGCTTGCAGTGCTGGGGGGAGGGGTGGGGGTGGGGCCGTCACGGTTCCTGTCACCAGGGCATCCCCTTCACGGGGAGGGCTGGCTCCTGAAGGTGTCCCGGGCTGGGGAGTGTCACCATCGTCTTGAGGGCTGGTGTAGACCATCTTGTAATGGAGGAAAGTGTTAAAATCCTGCGTTTTGGGTGTGGAGGTCAGGGGTCAGGATACGGTCAGGAGGGTAACAGTGGGCCCAGCTTAAAAGAGACCTTTTAACAGAAGCAGTGAGCTCGGTGGTTTTGAGTCAAAGTGCAGAGGGAGTTTTAGGAAAAGGAGGCGCCTCTTGGGCCTTCATGGTTGGAAGTCGGGGGGCGGCGTGGGGGCCAGGGCTCGGGGAGGGAGGGCAAGCCTGGTGGTGTGGGCTCCCCGGCGGGTGGGATGCCGCGGAATGTGATTGAATTCTGCCTGTGAGGGGCTGAGGGGAGGGGTGGCTGGGCCAGCTGGAGCTCAGGTATCACCCCGGGGGGCGTGGGGGAGTCAGGCACGGCAGACAGGCGGCCCAGGGGGTGTCGACCCAGGAATGGATGTCCTCACCACCACTGCCACTGTCTTCAGGACCTGCCCACAACAGCACCTGTGTACCCGCGTGCCTGCTCCGTCCTCTCCTGCCCAGTGCAGACCCCTCTTGGGGTATCTGTAGATGTTTGTGCCCCCCGGGGGTCTCTTGTGTTTGCAGGTGCATGTGTGCACACCTGGGGGGTCCGTGGCATCTTCTCAGATGCCTCCTTGGCCATGTGGAAGGAACTCCCTTGCTCATCCTCATGGCAGGGCCAGGACTCCAGCTTTGGTCCTGTCCCCAGAGCACAGGATTGGGAGGGAGGAACCACGGAGGCCCTGCACAGGTCCAGTTAGGAGGGAGCCCTCAGCACAGAACAGGCACATCTGTGGGCAAAGCATGTTCCAAGTGACCACAGACAGAAAGACGGCTCTGACCACCCAGCCAGACCTCCCGACCTGGACATAGCCCAGGCCTGCCGTCCACCTGCTGTGGGGCTGGGTGATGGCCAGCCTCTCTGAGCCAGCTTATCTGGCTTGATGGTTGGCAAGACCTTGTGTCCACGTAAGGCCATCGTGAGGTTCTGGGTGTGGGATGTGAAAGTGTGCATTTCCGGGGACAGAGTTCAGGCCTGATAACATGCCGTTTCTCTGCGGGTGACTCACTGCCTGTGCCCCACGTGGGTGTTGGCCCAGAGGCGGGGCTCAGCCTTTGCCACTGAGTCCCCTGCTCAGCGCCCGGCACCGGGCCGCTCACACACCGCTGAATGGATGGGTGGATAAGTGAGTGATGGGTGCATGGGTGGGTGGGGACTCTGGCTGGTGACTGTCCACACGACAGCACTGCCGGAACGCCTCTGAAGGGGCACCGACAGGAGCTCACAGGAGTGCGGGAGCTGCATGCCCGAGGCCAGGTTCAGGGTTTGCAGCGGGACCTGAGTCCCTGCGGCGGCGGCAGGTGGGGCCCCTCCTGGAGAAGGGGAGCCCCTTTTAGGGAGAGGCTGCCACTGGCTGTCCTTCCTGTCTCACGGCTCACAGTTGAGCATCCCCGCGGCACGTGAGTCACTCTAGCACAGAGTCCACTTTGGAACGCGCATTTCCGTTGTGGGCTGATGCCCCTCCTGCACGTGGGTTCTCAGCCTCTGCTTCTGCGCCCCCTCTGCCGTCTGCCCCCTCCCCTATTATGTTTTTACTGAGATTGCTGCTTCCTGGGCCCATCACACCCCTTGACGGTCCCGTTCGCACTGTGTCATTCGCCTTATTGTCGGGAAGTTGAGGTTATTCATCTTGGCTGGGGAAGCACCGCATCCCGCTGCCCCAGAGCTGGTCAGATGTGACCGGAACAGAGTGAGGGCGGGTCCCCAGGGGGCCAGGGTGGGGTGGGGCCTGGCAGCCCTCGGACACCGACGAGTCCCCCCTAACTCTCTGCTCCCCCCGCAGCCCCCTGAGCCCGGAGGAGGGGAAGGTGCTGCTGGAGCACGTGGCGCGTCTCCTGGAGGTGCCCGCCGACGTCTTCGTGGACATCGGGTGAGTGCGGGTGCTCTGGGCCTCTCCGCTCACGGCAGGTTGTTTCATAAACTGGTTTCGGGAGAGAGAGCCGTGTGTCTGTGGGTCTCCTAGTTGTATCACAGAAAGTATTCAGGAGGGAAATGAAAGGAGAACCTGCTGGGGTTTCGGTAAATTCTTTAAGCACAGCCTGAGTGTGATAAGAATTATAATCTCCTGAAAGAGCTGGCCGAGGCCTGTGGAGAACCACCGGGAGGCACCTGCCCCCACAGGTGAGTCAGAGCCACCTGGACAGCGTGTGTCTGCGGTGGAGGGTGCCCGCCTGGACACACCCTGCCGCCGGCCCTCTGAAAAGTTCGCTCACAGCGAGGGAGGGCTGGGGTCCCCAGGTGCCGCGGCCCCTTTTCATCCGTGGCCAAGGCTTTGGAAAGAGCTGTGACATCTGGACGAAGGGCTGGCACGCGGCAGGTGCAGGGAGTATTGCGTGTGGAGCACAGGTGGGAGCACGCTGCTGGCAAAAGTGGAGGGCACCTGCGTGGAGGGCCGCGCCCATAGGCCCGCCCACAGGCCCGCCCCCACACGGGGCCAACCG